TTCACATGAGTCATGTTACGTTCTGAGCTGAGTAACTGCTGGGGCTATTTTTACTCCAGCTCAGCAAAGCTTCCTTCTCGCTGCTGCCACCGCCACCACCGCTCGCTGCGGACCCTGGGGCAAAGGATGGGGACATGGTGAGTGGCAGAGGGCGAGGGCAGGGGAAGCAGTGTTTGGGGTGGTGTCAGTGGAAAGGGGGACCACTGCCCACCTAATCAATTTGGAAACAAAAATAGTATATGCCTTTTGAAAAACAACAGATGACCTGCGATGTGTGGTGTATTCACACACACATACGTATATATTTATTATACTGGGAGAGGGGAAGGGGGGAGGGAGAGAAATTCCTTTCGAGTGCTATTCACCAGTCTGGAAAAATAAAGAAGGAAAGCAGAACATTTTTTCCTTTCATCAAAACAGGAAAGAGAGGGGGAATGGGGTGGGGAGCAGATCCATAGACATAATGGATGGCTGCCAGTGTAAGGAAATTGTTCCCTTCTACCCTAAACTTGGGGCTTGGGGTGGGGGAGAAATATATGGCAGTATGATCAGAGAAAGCTGCATCCCCTCCTCCCCACTTGATGCAGGAACGTGTGTGCACACGGGAAAGTGCTGAGAAATCGGTGCCCCCCAGCCTTGCCTTTTCTCTTTGAATCCTGCTCGAGCTGCACATCCGCAGAGATGTGAAATGCCTTTGCCTTCCCCTTCATCTCAAAGCACGGGGCAAAAGGCACAGCCGACAGGAGCCCTCTCCCTCTCTGCCGTTGTCAGGGCTGGGCTCTGCCCTCCGCATGTGTCTGCGTGCTCGTCCCCCTTCCCCATCCTCTCCTCTCTGCCAGGTTCCTGCCAGGAATGGGTGAGATGAAGGAGGTGGTGAGGGGCTGGGGGAATCCCTCTGACGGAGAGAGACAGGCAGAGGGGGTGGTTCCCAGGGAAAGCCTGGCAGGTCCCATCAAACGCCTGCTCCCCAGGTGACACCTTCCCTTTTCCCTGGAGCCGCTGGCTCTGTCAGGGTTTTACTCATCCTTGGAAAGCATTTTCTCTGCCAGTGCCAGGGGCAGGAAGGGAAATTATGCAAGCCCTGGGTACCCTGAGGCTCTGCCTTTCTCCAGCCCCGGATAAAAACACCGAGCTCCTTGGCTCTCTCTGTCTCCTTCCTTTGGTCTCTCTTCTTTCCTCCTTCTTCCTCCATTAAACTGAACTCAGTCCTTAGGAAGTCGAGGCATGTCAGCACCTCTGGGGCTGTAAATGCTGTAAAACACAGCGTGAGCTCCGCACAGTAACCCCGCTCTTATCACCTGCGATAGTCGGGATAAACCCCATTCAACCGGGGACTGTGGTGTAAAACCAACTCGCCCACAGAACGGATCTCCGGGTGTAAAGGAGGTGTAAAACTTACTCCAGGTGCCTCGTTTCGGTGCCGCGGCTCTCCCCTCCATTGACGGCTGCGGCAGCCCCACGGCGTGGGCGCAGGGATTTGCTCATCCTTCTGAACTTAGAGACTGGAGCAGCACAACACCTAAGTTAGACACCTTGAGTGGGCGGGCTGACTACACGTTGGCTGTCAACACCTCCTCATTTCTTTCCATTGATTGTTTTCAAAATAGGATTCATCATGGAGAGGCTGAGACACCTCAGCTGTTCAGACTGAGTCTTGCTTTCCATTGTAAGCCCTGTTTTTCTTCCTGTTGTTTCATAATTCATTACCTACCCCCTCTGAAAAAAAAATGTAATAAATAAAAAAAATATCACCCCTCACTTCATGCTGCTGTGGATAGTGGCTAGTACGATCATTTTTTCCATCAACAGGAGATGAGGGGAGAGCAGCTTTGCAGCAAGGAACTGCCTATTGTCCTCAGACACGTGTTGCTCTCCTCCCTAGTGATAAGAGAATAACCAGGGAGATGAGTTCAGCAGTTTGCAGGTTTGAGAGCTGTAATGGTGGTAAAAGTGTTTTAATAATAAATCCTGGTGCAGGCTCTTAGGAAATTTTGTTTTGGTTTGGTTTCTCTGCAGGGTCATTGCCAGCTAGCACAGTTGCAACCAGATCTTGTCAAGTTGTGTTGCTCTAATGGGACATTTTTATGGTCCAGATGCTTCCCTCAAAATACCTTCCCAGTATATGCCATGGTGGTTTCAAACTCTTATCCTGTGACATCTGGGACACCAATAGCCCTGCAGGCCTGCATGCCCACCCCACAGTCCAGGTGAGAGGGAGACCCAGTTATTCCCATTAGTTTTAGGGGTTTGTGGGACAGATGTCAAACTAATTTCACAGAAGTAAGAGAGTCAAAGGAGCCCCCAGCAGGCTCGAGGCAAGCAATTTTAGGTGCACACACTCCTATCAAACTCAGTGCCAGTGAGACCTACCCAGCCAGTCTAAAGACATCACTAGGGAAAATCTATCCCTGTCTTAAAAAACAGAAAAAACACTGAAGCCTGAGCAGCTTGAGTATCACTTTGCTCTATTTCCAGGCAGGGTCATAGGTAGATGATTAGTCAAATTCCAAACATCCTCTTCCTTGATGTCTGGAGGTTCAACAGGGATTAGCTTTTTGTTTCTGATGTCGAGCTTCTAAAAACTGCCCAGCATCATCCACATGAAAATAAATAACTCTATTTCTATCCCATCTAGCATGTAATAGAACCGGATATTCAAAAAAAAAAAAAAAAAATCAAAACCAAAAAAACACCACCCATATCTCCCCCAAAATCAGGCCCTGCAGCAGCTCTTGTTGCTACCAAGCAAGAAATCTGCAGCAGTCCCTGCTAGCTTTCTGCTGAGACCTTCTCCTCTCTGGCAGCAGTATCTCTCCCTGCTGAGGAATTTGATCAGCCCTCCCACACGCAGGCTGTTCTGTCCTGGCCAGGAAGCCACTACAGCGTGGGGGACTCCCCACACAGGTGGTGTGAAGGTGGTGGAGCCACACCAGCTTATTTGAGGGTAGAGATCCTCAAAAGGCATCTGGGCCTCCACTGACCCCTTGAGAACCTTAAATATGTAACGGGATCATGGAAATTCAGGACCCAGCTGTCCCCAGAGCTCTCTACAGAGATAGAAGGACTTCTCAAATCCTCACCTTTTCCCCTGCTTCCCCTGCTGACGGCTAAGGAGCTCAAAGCTACAGCATTTCTTTGGCTGGTGGCATCTGGAAAGAGGTGAAATGGACCGAGGCCCTTTTAAAACTCTTTTTTTTTGAAGACCTCTACAGATTTCAAAAGGTGTTTCAGGACCCAGGTGGACATCAGGGCTGCAGCTACATTATCATCACTTGAAATGGCTGGTACGCTGCTGGCGGGCCAGGATAGAGAATGAGGGGAATTCTAAGAGCGTCCTGAGGAATTTGGGGTGGGACAGGGCTATCATGGCTGGAGCATCTAAGATAAAGTCTTGTTATGGTCTCTGGCGGTGGAAATGAGCAAAGGTATGCCTTGCATTTCTACTTCCTCCCCCCTGAGCGCCAATATTGGAACCGAGCCACTTGAGACTTGGTTTCAGGGACTCCCAGGACCCTCCTTATCCCTGCACTCATGCACCTCAGATGGCCTGGGCTTTGGAGCTGACATGGCTCTGGCCAAATCCCCAAATGCATAGAAATCTGCCCACTCTTCTACTGGGCTATGGTGAATGAAGGTGACCCCTTATGACCCAAGAGCACCTTGATACACTACCCCAGAGGACCCAGGCTATTTTAAGCTAGCTATATGGAGGATCCCCAGTATTCCTTGTGTCCCTGTGCGTCTTGACCAACACCCACACCCATGAGACCAAAATCAAGTTCAGAGGCATAACTAGCCAAGCTGGGATGTGCTGTCAGGTGCTTGATGCAGAGGAGCATTTGGGGGGCTGCCTGCTGCTCACTCAGTTCCAGTGGCTGCTCCTCCTGCACTTGGACACTTTGGACTGTGCAAATGGGGGTGCTGGTGCGAGACCGTGTGTTTTAGAGAGGGTTGGCTGCAGGAGACTTACAGGCACCCAGACAGTCTAAGGGAGCATGTGTGATGCTGTGAGATGAGGCCACTGGTATGCCAGTGGGTGTATGCATGTGAGAAAGGAAGAGAGAGGGGGAGAGTGAAGGAGAACACATGGATGCCCAGGGATGTGTGAATGAGACAAAATTTGCACGTAGCTGTGCATGCGAGCGGCTCGAACAGAAGCGTGTGCGTAGCATAGGAAAAGCAGGGGGGATGCTTGGGATTCAGAGCGAACGCCTGCCGAGCGCCTGCGGTGCATGACGGTGCAGGAATGTATCGGTGGATACGAGCCTGCACAAAGATGGTGCAGACATCCCTCCTGGTCGTGCCTGGAGTGTGCTTTGCGAGTGTATGAGTCGGCGCCGGGAGATCACTCGTATGTACGTGAGAGGGTGTTTTTTCAATAGGATATGACTCTTTCTTGAACTCACCTGTTAGCAGCCTTCCCCTCCCCATCCCTCTCCCCCCACAGCAAATATCTGCTGGCTTAATTTCCCTTCAGATGTTTATTACATCGTGGAGATAATCATGCAGCAAAATACCTCCGGGTGCCACGAGCAACACCAGATTGTCTTATAGCAACATGTAAATTTCTCTGGCTTCTTTTTTTCCCCAGCACACAAAGAGATGTAAGATATTAAAGTCATCTCTCTCCCCGGAGCTAGTGGTGTAGCAGGGCAGGGAAGGCAAAGAGTGGATCTTAGAGAAATGGGCTCCAGACTGAAACAGCGAGAACCTGGGGCCAAAAAAAATAACAAACTACCGTGCCGGGAACTCCTCTCTTCTTATCTCTTGCCGAGGAGGCAGGAATTTCTGTCCCCATTCCTCACGCGATATTAAAGCCACATTATACAGGTTGCTGCAGCATTAGTCATTTTTAATTAATTTATCATTTAAATTAACACACTTTTTATTTTGTCAGCAATGAACTGCTACTCCCTCACTAGATTTGTTCCTTGATACCCAGCCAAGAGGAGGATGGCAAGTTATGCTCCACCCATCTCCTCTCCTTCATAAAAGGAGCAGCCCCGAGTGCCAGCTTAGTCTCTCCTGCAGCTCGCAGAACATAAAGATCCGGCTCACTCGCCTCTCCTGCAATTTTACCTTTTCTGCATTTTTTTGTTTGTTTTTCTTTTCTTGTTGCAACAGATTGCGGGAGGCAGCACCAGTGGCTCCACTTTGAGGCTTGTCAAGGCTCAGCGCACGCATACAAACACACACTCGCAACCCAGAGCAAAAACATTTGCTCTCACCTGTCTCCAAACCCAAGCAAACATCCCGTCCAAGCAAACTGCCAACACTTGGAACGAGAAGGCACCCGAGCCAGAGTTTAATGTAAGGGGAAGAAATTCAGTGTACACTGGCAACTTTTCTCTAAAAAGCAAGTGGCAAAAAGGAAGGAAAGGAGCGTTTTAAGAAGAGGACAACTTAAGGAAGAAGATTTCATTATTTGGATTTCACACCAAACTTTGGAAAAGTTTTTTTTTTTCTTTTAGTTTCTATTCTGTGCACCTTCTTCTAAGAACATTGAGACATTGTTACCTGCATGTAAAAGCTTTTACAGATACACATTTTTTTAAAAAACGAAGAAAACCAGCAGGAAGAATAGTATGTGGACCACCTAGCCAAAGGCACCACTGAAGCATCCCTTGCGGCAAGGGGGACCCAGACTCTGGATGTGTATAATTCCGAGGGACTGCATTTTTTCCCCACCGGACTTATGAGATAGCGCAGAGGCAGGCGAGTCACCGAGAATTACTTCTGTCTCCCCTCACCACCACCGCCACCTCCACGTCCTCTTCCAAGGGCTCCTGCGACTCTCCCACATCCTCCCGGCTCGCAGGGGACATGGGAACGCGCAGCGCCCTCGATGCCTGAGGCCGGGCGGCCGCGGGGCTGTCTGCGGGAAGCGCTTCCCTCCCGGGGCTCGCCGTCCATGTGCCCGCAGCCGGCGGGGCCTGGAGTCGGGATGAATTTCGGCGTGGTCTTCGCGTTCATGCTCTCGCTGCCCCTGGCCCGCATGGAGGTGAGTGTCCGCCGCGGGCAGCGGGCGGTGCTGCCGAGCTGCCAGCCCCGCGCCGGGGGAGCGCGGCCGGCCGCGGCTCCGGCCCGCAGGTGCGGCGGGCGCAGCCCGGGGCGCGGCGCGGAGCGGCGGGGGCGCGGTCCCGGCCCCGCTCCGCGGGAAGGGCTGCGCGGGGCCCGGCCGCGCTCTGGGCGGGCGGCGACCGCCGCCCCCTCCCGGAGGGCAGCGCCCGCTGGAGCGGGTACCCCCCTGCAGTGGGCACCCCTCTGGGATGAACACCTCTCTGCAGTGGGCACCCCTCCGGGATGAACACCCCTCTGCAGCGGGCACCCCTCTGGGATGAACACCCCTCTGCAGCGGGCACCCCTCTGGGATGAACACCCCTCTGCAGCGGGCACCCCTCTGGGATGAACACCCCTCTGCAGCGGGCACCCCTCTGGGATGAACACCCCTCTGCAGCGGGCACCCCTCTGGGATGAACACCCCTCTGCAGCGGGCATCCCTCTGGAGCGGGTGCTCCCGTCGGGACGGGCCCGCCGAGGGGGTCTCGCCTGGGAATACAGCCACCCCCGTGTCTGCCCCCGGCTACCAGGGGCAGGGGAGACCAGGTTGAAGTGGCCCCAGTTAATGTGGGAGCAGGGATGCTGCTGGCGAGCCCCGGGGAAGCCGCAGCTTCCTGCCCTGCCTCACCCAGGGCTGTCACCCTGGGGCGGGTGCTGGCTCCCTCAAGCCTCTCACCCCACCCCGTGATTTTGGCATTACAGCAGTGCGGGTGCAGCAGGGACCGGGGCCCTCTTGACACCTCTGGAATACCGCACAGTGTGAAATCCACCCTTGCATTGCCAGGGGGGCAGTGGAGAAAGGGTGTGGGGTTTTGGAAAGGAGGAGGAAGGGGATGGTGTGAGTAGAGATACAGCATTGACACTTACACCAAGTGGCACGGTCATTCAGAAAGGTGTGTGCCCAGCCAGGGGAAGGGGCAGGAGGTGACTGCCTCCTGGGCTTCCGCGGTCACACAAGCATCATACCCTGCAGTCCTGAATGGGCTGCTCAGGAAGATGAGCAGAGGGCAAGCCCCAACCCACTTCAGTTTCCCTATGTGGAAATTGAAGCCTCATCCCCAGCCCTGGTTAAGGAAAAGGAGCCCCAAACCCTCAGATCCTTTGACCTCTGCTGTCACATTTCATCATCTGATTGCATGCAGATTGAGGGGATCAGAAAGCCCCTAACATTCCCACACAGTACTGGGTTCCCACTTCAGCTCTACCCAAAATGGCAAAACTGTGGGTTAGATCTGCAGCTTGATTGTCAGGGGCAGAAAATATCCTTCCACCAAAACTTTCCCTTCTTTGCATGATTTTTCTCCTTTCCTTCCTCATTTTTGGGCTGGGTCAGTGTGTGCACCCCTCATGAGATGGTAAAGAAGAGGCTGGGTGCAAAGCATCACATCACCTTGCTGTGGGCCCATTTTGCCCTTACCCAAGCCACAAAAGGAAACAGTTAGAGCTGTGGGCTACCCAGTGGTCATGCTTGTTTTAGGCAGAGAATGATATTTCCTCTGTGGATGGCTCAGATCTCTTTCTCTCATGCAGCATGAAACATCAGCTAGGGTTGGCACTGGGGAAAGGTGAAGATGGAAGTGTCTGATCCCAAGGAGCTGTTACTCAGTTGCCATAATCAGATTGAAATTCTGCACAGCACTATGACAGCCTAGTAGAGTTAGAGTTTGGTAATTCTGGCCCGAGGTTTCATGGGAGGAATTGTGATATTTGTGACTGTATGACAGGAGAAACAAGAACGTTTCTGCTTGGGTAGATGCTTCAGCCTGCAGCCAGTGCTCACAGTTACTTTGAGGGTGGTGTGTTGCCCGCTCTGCAGCAGGCACAGACAGCACTGCTCCCACCAGGCTGCTGAACCAGAGTCATCCTCTGAATAGGACTTGCAGCTCCTTCCCAGCCATGCCGGAGAAAGTGCATGAGGAGCAGTAGCTACCCAGATCAGCAGAGGCCCTGAGCAAAGAGACGGAGCCTCCTGAGTCCCTCTCCCTCTTTGATCACACCCATCTGGAGCTGGAGGGCCCTGGAGCTCTTCCAGCCGGAGGGAGTACAAGCCTCAGCGGGAAGGTATTTGCCAGTTGGGAAGCGAGGATGCTAAACCTATTTGCATTTGCCCCAAGGGCTGTAATAGTTGCCTTGCAACATTTACAGAGATGGGCTGAGCCAGCCGTGGTTGTGCCGGGGTGAAGCCCCACTGGCAGCTCTTTCTGGAATTCCCAAGGAATGGGGTGCGGCTGGGTGCTTGCTTATAGCCTCGACCCAGCTTCCCACTGCATCTTCCTGCTGCAAGGCTCCGGTACTCTTCCCTAGTCTTCCTAGCACGAGGCAGTGACAAGGACAAAGCAGTGGAAGCTGGGATGGATGACACGTCTGGGGTGAGCTTGTGGAAGGAGCCAGTCGTCCCTGCCTCCCTCTCACTGTCAGCTGATGTGCAGCAGCAGGAGGGAATGACAGGGCTCCTGCGCTGTTTCCAGTGCTGCTGGCACACAACCAGCCCCAGGGGTGGAAATGCCTCCAGCCCACGCAGGGGAGATGTGGGGGGAGTGTGGAGGAGCAGTGGAGTCCCCCTTGAAATGGAAAAGGGTGGGTAGGTCTGGCTGTATTTTAGGAACACGGACTAGATCAAACGTTTAATTATTTTAAGGAGGGGGAAACATAAGCCACAATTCCAAGTGGAAGGGGTTCATGTGAAGAGGGTTGTACCTGCTGCAGAGTAGTCTGGCAGGAATTTGTCAGGGTCCCCCTGTAGCCAGGAGTGGTGCTGGAAGGGTGGAAGCCTTGTGCCGGGGGAGAGCTGGTGGCAGGTGCTGCTGGTCTTGCCCTCTGCCAGGGAATGCGGTGGAGTCTCCCCTCAGGGTCCATACATTAGCTTCAGAGGGAATTAAAAAATGCTGTTTGTTTGTGGGTTTTGCCTGGCTGATCACTCAAGACCCTGCTGCCAAGATTCCTTGCCATGGTCGGTGTGGAGGTGTTCAGAAAGTCCTCCTCTCCTGGGCAGAGGAGCGAATAGGTGGGTGCTTCCCTGCCCTTCACAAAGTGGTGCTGCTGACACCATTCTGTTCTTCCATGTGCAGTCACACCGACTTGGAAAAAGCAGCTGAAGGAGTCCTCAGCTCGGGAATATCCTTGTCTGATTTATTTGAGCCCTGAGGGTCTGCCTTCCCTGCTGGTTGCACAGTCTTTGCTCCCTCCTCCTCCTCTGTACCTACCAAGAGACACACCTTCAGGCTGTGAAACTCTTGCCAGAGGGTGCAGACCACAAGACTTCGTATTCCTTGCACCAGCTAGGCAGCTTCTGATGGCAAGGAGACCTTTCAGCATCCCTGCTGCTCAAAAGCCTAAGCTGGGAAAAAACTCCAGAGCAAGAGGTGGTGGGGCTAGGGAGGAGGCAGATTTTGGGAAAGTGCATATGTGGGGAGCAGGAACAGGGGAACTGCTGCACCTGCATTTATATACAGTGGCCAAACAGTGCTGCTGGACATCTGGGAGGAGGGAAGCAAAGCTGATGTGCTGAGAGGCCCCAGTACAACAGCCACAGTGCAGCTGCTCTGCTGCCTTCTGTCAGATGTGCCATGGCCCCTCAAGCACCAGCAACCAGCACAAGAAAGGGAAGTGTACATCCCTGCCAAGGAGTTGGCAGATTGGGGGGTGCCCTTGCAACGCAGGGGAGAGTCAGAGTCAGGAACTGGGGAGCAGAAGGAGCGAGGGAAGAACAAACTTTCTTCTAAGAATTCAGGGCCTCGCAGGAATATGAGGCCAGGCCTTGGGGCACTTGACAGCCAGCCAAGAGTCCATTGAGACAAAAGTCTTCTTTGATCTGCCGCACAGTTAAAAAAGGAGATTGTTAACCTGTGTTAGACAAATAACTCCAGAGGAGCTGCTGAGCAGGAAAAGCACCAGCTGCTTGGACTGGTCTCTTGGGGATCCCACCTCTCTCAATGCTCCTCTACCTTCTGACCCCATGGGATTAGGTGGAGGTGATTGATGGACCTCTGGTTCCCTGTGTCTCATCCCACAAGTACCCGGAGTCTGGATGTGTGCAGTGCTCCATCTCAGAGCCTCCCAGGCACAGGGCTGGGGCAGGGGCCAGAGGCATGGCTGTTCCCAGTGACAGACCCCAGAGGGAGCAAGGACAAGGCATGCAGCTCAGGTTTGTAGCAGCTCTTAGGCCAGCCTTGGCCTTGGTTTACAAGGGTAAAGTAAGGAACTTCACAGGCTTGCAGTTGTCACTGGCAGAGCTGCCTTACAAAAATGGGGGTGGAGGACAGGATTATGAGCTGTGTGGGCTGGTGTTACACCATAGCCATGCTGGTAGTATCTGCAACAAGAAAAAATTGGCATCTAAAACTGCTGCCCTGAGCAGGGAGCGGAGCTTATTGCTACAGGCAGTCACCAGAAGTATGGCTCCTGAGGGCCTGCATTTTCAGTCCCTGATTCATATCTGCTCCTCCTGCTCAGTTAGCAAGGTGACACCTCCCAGCTCGCTTCCAAAGTCGCAGAGTCTGAGTCTCGTAACACCTGCCCACGCTCTCCCCCCAGCAAGTGCCAGAGTTTAAAATAAAGTTCCATTTCCTACATGTATTAAGTGTCAGGAAGGTCCAGAGGCATCCGTGCAGAGCAGCATTTGTACACAAACGCATTTGGCTGACAGGTGCAAACATTGAAAGCCTGCAATTTCACCATCCAGCACTGAGCTCTGACTGCAAGTACTGGCAATTTCAAATGATCCTTCTTCCAGTAAATGTGTGTGGCACAAGGCAGGGAAGTGCTGCAGAGCCTCTCCAGCACTGGGGTGTTGGTCCCTCTCTTCCTCACACAGCAGGAGATGTCAGAAGGCATCTTCATTTCACAGCTATTCAGTGATCCCTGAATTATACAAGTCTCTCTCTTGCTGTGCATTCATCACTGATGCTGCTTCCCCCTCCCTCAGAGACTGAGGAAGTAATGTCTGGGGATGTAATATCTGCCTTTTGCTGCAGGCAGACAGCCAGATCTGTGGTGAGATGTGGCAGTGACAGTGATGGAGTGGGGCAGGAAAGCTCAGTTTGACTGAAGCTGTCTGGTGGGTCTGGCTGTGGAGGTTTAGGACACTGATGTTTTCTGCTCTGCAGCTCTCTTCAGGAGGTTTCTGAGCCTCCTTGGGCTGCATCAACCTTCACATCACTGCATCCCAGTTAAAGTTCTCGTATTAGAGGGTGGTCTGGCAGGGCTGAGGAGGGAGCACTCCTGTTGTCCTACTATGGAAGCAAGCGGTGGGTGGTCAAGGACAGGCACGTGTGAGAGAGTGCCAGGCTCAAGCAGCCATCCAAAAGTGGCTGCAGGTTTGGGCCAAAGCTCTCAAGGTTTAAAGCCAACGTTTAGCCACCTGCCTGGTGGCTTTTCTCTGCTGCGAACGGAAGGAAAATGTTCTGCACTGAATGCAGGCAGGGAGGGAATAGCTGTACAGTAGGAGGACCACACACATGCCACCAACTGTCCATAAAAACCCACACGAAAATCCCTGTGTTTCACAGGAGCACAAGCCAAGCTCTCCTCTCAGTTACAGGGACATGTGGAGGGCTGTGCCTCAGACATCGTCCAGCACCCGGCTCAAAGAGCAGCTTTTCCGCTTGAGTACCACTGAATGAAGAGAGCTGGGAGCTAAGCAAACACTTCGGCCAGTACTTTCCTCTGTCTCTTTTTCTAGTCTTTCGGAAGTATGTTTTAATCAGCATTTGCTTTCCCACACCACTCCTTTGTACTCTTATTAAGTGCTGTCACTGGGGCCCGCTTCTAGCCTAGTGCCAGAGTAAAATTCCCAAGAGACTGATGGCATTGCACCTGCCTGTATTTGGCCCATTGTCTGATGTTGCGAAACCTGCTCTTACTTGAGGGTTTTTCATGCTGGTGTGCAATGACATCCAAACTCCATATGTTTCTTCCTCCAAATCAGCTCCTCAGCCCATCACCTCCCTGCAGCTTTTGTCATTTCACCGCGGGCTCACGCTGGGGCAGCCTCAGCTGCGAAGGTCAATCTCCATCTCCACCCCCAGCCTTTTTTTTTTACTTAAAAAAGAGTATGCAAATGATGTATATTATTGGGCCTCTGTGGTTTGAAAACACACGCGCTCGCACACGCACACACACATGATAACTGACAAAGCCCGTGAAGGAGTTTCATAACGGAGGGAAATATTAGGAAGGTTTTATCTGATAGTGTAAGGGAAGTCTGTTAAAACGCCTTTACTGCAGGCAGCAGGAATGAGAAGCCACCTGGAGAAGTCATACACCACCGGAGAAGGAAGCTTTGCTGGCTGCTTGCATAGTGTCCAGGGCTCTGCTGCACAGCCCGGGTATTTTTTTGCTTTTTTAGTCTTCTGACAGCTTTGTGAGAGCCTGCAAGAGGGTCTCTCTTGCTTTTGCTTAGTTTTCATGTCTTCACAAGGAATAAAGCCCTCAAGGTTTCAAAGCAAATGCAACACAATGCACGTCTTTGCATTTTGCTGGTTCTGTCGTGTCCCCCCCATGCTTGATTCCCTGCTCCTGCTCTGTGACACAGCCAGTATTTGCAGATCATCTCTCTAATGCATGTTTCTCCCTTTCTTGTCTTTTTGTTGTCTGGCAGGGGGATCCCATACCTGAAGACATTTATGAGATTTTGGGTGGCAGCTCAGTGCGCTCCATCAGTGACCTCCAGCGTGCCCTGCAGATAGACTCCGTAGGTAAATCTCCTCTTCACCAAACACTCCTCTATTTTTAATTAAGTCTTTGGGGGGGGGGGCTGGGAGGGGATATTCTCTTTTTCAGCAGGCACACTATCAAGAGACTTCATTATAAATATAGGAATCACTCAGGAGCAGAGACGTGGCTGTTTACAAACTTAGTCCCCCTGAAACTTATGGGAGTTAGAGGCAACTAGATGCTTTTTTAGATCTCCTAACTGTCTGGACACTGGCTTCCAAAAATGGTAGGATATGGGCAAGGTGAGTGCAAGGAACTGAGATCCCCATTCTTCACCCTGCGAGATGCTCAGTCAGCAGGGCTTGAACTGGACAAGGATCAGTTTAGGAGGCTGCAAAATGGGAGGTGGAAATACGGTGAGAGAGGAGGAAAGGGCTGAGTGGGTTTCCAGGTTTGGCATCCACAAAAGGCCGCAGGCTCCCAGAGGCCCTTAGGATGAGAGGAGCAGCGCACGCGTCCGCGGGTGAGCTGCGGGGCAGGGGCTAAGTCAGGGTAGTGTTGTTTCACCTCCTGCCTGTAGATAAGAGCTGCGGGGGCTGCAGGGCCTGGGGGTCACTTGGCCAGGGCTGACTGCACTGAGCAGCAGCGGCGGCGAAGCGTGGAGGGGTCGGCACGTGTGGGAACTGGAGCACGCGCCACGGCGGCTGGGCTGGCCCAGCAATTTATTTATAAACGGTCTCTTCAGAGCAAATTCCTTTCTATTCTAACCCTGCTCCCGCCCGTCGTCCCCCAGCCCCCCCAGCTCGACTTCTCTCTCGTGTTTTGTCTGTTTTGAGCTTTGTAATCCTTGCCGAGACACTATCTACGGGGGAACAGAATTTCCTGCTTTTGTTTCCTATGCCAGTCCAACCACTGGCGCAGTCTCAAAAGCATTCCCGCTGCCTTTCAAAACGGCCCTGGAGGGGCAGGGGGGGAAAGCGAGGGGGAGGGCACCAGCTGCGTTCAGCTATTGTTTGTCTTAGAAAGAGGCGACGAGGCTCCCCACCTCTGCCAGGGCCACTCCCTGCCCTCACCAGTTCCCTCCTCCTTGTCCACAAGCCACACAATGGGGCAACTTCCAAAATTAGCCCTGCTGGATTGTCCCAGGCTGGTCCCCCCCTACCCCAAATGTCTTCAGTACTGATCCAGGGTGTAGAAGGACAGCCTAGAGGAGGGAGGGACATGATTCTGAACTGATTTGCTTTGAGTCAACAGTTGTTGCTATTTTTTTGCCCCCACTTCTCTCCTCTCATCAACTCAACTTGTGCACCAAAGGCAGCCCCCACCTTCATTTGATGAAATGCCACAGGATGGAGGGGTGGGCAAGGAGCAGCTGAGAAAATGCATCCAATCTGTCATGGGCTGGTTTCTAATGAACAGATACATCTCTATCATGGCTATTAACCAGCCTCATGATTAAGAAATAAAATGGGCTTATCTGGTTGGCTTCAGAAGCCCAGGGGTATGAGAGAAGGTTGCAGAGCTTTGAGTCACTGGTTTCACTTCAGGTCCCAGTCAGGAAAGGCTGGTCAGGGAAGCGAAAAGTGGTGCTGTGAAGCCGTTTCTTTGTTTCACCCCATGGCTCTCATCTGTTCCCAGGTACTGACTGAGGAGCATTGACGTTCGCTTGCCCTGTGAGGAATTTGCAAATTAGTGTGTGCACAAAATAATCCCAAAGTGGCTGGAGCTATTCCCTGTGCTGTCTGTGCACCCTGTGTGTGTCACAGCTGACTCCCTCCACTGACTGCACAAGGAGCCAGAATGAGGCAGCTCCGGGAGGCAGATGGGCTGAGACAGCGCTCTCCTGACCTTGGGCACTACTGCAAACCCAGCAACAGAATTGTGTAGAGTGGGAGTCATCTCCTTAATTGTGGTTGCCCACAAAGCAGTGGCTGCCCATGTAAACCAGTCATCCAGACACCTTCTCTAGCCCAAAGAGAATTACAGGCCCTTCTAAAGTGTGATCCACCAGTTTTCATTTTGGGACTTTGCCTGAGGGCGAGACGAATGGTGCCTAGAATTGATCACACCTTTCCAGCCACTTTAAAGGGTGTCTGTCTGTCCACTTCACATGTAGATGTTGACTGCTCATTGATAGGCACATGATTCCTGCCTTTTGAATGCAACCTCTGTGCACCCACTCCAAATCTGTCAGCAACTGCTTGAGACCTGAGCAGGGAGCAAAGTCCCTGTTTCCCTTTATGAGAAGGCCCTTTATGCACTAGGGCAGGGCTGAGGAAGAGGAATGGGACATGATAGGTAAGGGAAGTCTGCTCCACCACACATCTGATAAACAGAGATCTTCCACTGGCCCCTAATTCCCTTTAAGAAAATTGCTCCCTTGATGCTGACGTCCATTCAGTTTCCTTCAGCTGCTAAAGCAGGTTAGAGAAGGAAAGAGCTGTGGCTGGGTGGGAGCTATCTTCGAGCGCAGCCATTGTCCCGAGCTCAGGAGGGGCTGCGTGTTCGAGTGCTCCATGGGGATTATGGGCATTTCTCTATTCAGCACTTCCTATGGGAAAAAGCAGTGGGGTGGGAGGGAACCGCTCAGGGCTGGCCTGAATGCTATCGGTCTTCCTCTCCCATCGCCGACTGAACCACCTCCAGATCCTGCTCTTACCTTAGAGTAGTCTAGAGGAAAAGTAATTTTAACTTTATTTTTCTGTTCTTCTGTCATAAAACTTCTCTAATCTAGAGCAGCTGAGGTGAGCTAGGAGAGAGAAAGCAAGCACCCCACCTGCTACCCATCCGCCCTTCACCTGCCCTCTCACCTCCCAACTCTCCCAGTCCCAAACCATCCGAGCAAGGCACCTCAGTGTTAAATACCACGTGTTCTGCTTGCCCCATCTGGTCTTTGATCCTCCTTGGTGTTATCCTGGTCTCAGCTGGCCAATCTGAATCCCTCTGACACCAGAAAGGCAACTCCTCTCTGACACCAGAAAGTCCTGACACGAGCCTTATCTTTCTTGAGCTGGAGTTCTCCCCTCCAAGACCTGACTGGGTCCGCCTCTTTCATTATAGGCCTGTTGCTCTGAGTTGCCTAGTCTGAGCAAAGGGTGTCCATGTCCCAGAACAGCTGTGACCTTGCTTGTGGATTTATACCTAGCATGAGGTCCTGGGTCTGTGGTTTATCCCATGTCCCTGCATTTTGCCTGGTGATCTCAGCATAAGTGCCTGCTGTCTTCTCCTGCCTCTACCTGGTGCTATTAGGTCATGTCTTCCCCTTTGCAGAGCGGGACAGCTCGAGCCTGAGCCTGAATGCATCTCAGCCTGATCAAAACCCTGTGGCCCTGTCTCGAGAGCGACGAAGCCTAGGTGAGCTTGGGGTCTTGCACCTTGTGATTGTTGGGAAGCAGCTGTGGGTGGTCCAGATACATGTCTGAGATACAAATGTAGGGGTAGACGTTATAGTGCACCCAAACATGTGGAGGCATAAAAATGAGGGTCTGGGCCTGGAGTGGGATCTGGGTGCTTCACCCTGGCAGAGCAGGAGAGGGAGTCTGGACTTCTGTGCACTGCTCTGCCTTAAATCCCAACAGTGCTCATTTGCACTTCTCACTGGGCTGCAGGGAGAAGCATTGCTGTACTGGGGCTTCCTCCACATGGCTCTGTATAGGGAGAGAGCCGGAGGAGTGAGAGAAAGGGAAAGAACATTTGTGTGTTCTTGTGCACATGAGAGCCTTGTGGGGTCCTTCACTTGCAGCAGAGGTGGCTGTGGCGGGTTGGTGACAGCTGCAAAGCCCATTTCATCCCCTGTTTCCCTCTTGGCCCTCTGTAGATGCTCTGGCAGCAGCAGAGACAGCTGTCCTGGCGGAATGCAAGACACGGGAGGTGGTCTTCGAAATCTCCCGCAACATGGTGGACAGCACCAATGCCAACTTCGTGGTGTGGCCGCCCTGCGTGGAGGTGCAGCGCTGCTCCGGGTGTTGCAACAACCGCAACGTGCAGTGCCGCCCCACACAGATCCGTGTCCGGCACGTCCAGGTGAGGAATGTGCCCGCCACTGCTCCCTGCTCCTGCCTCCCACCGCCATCCCTGTGCCCCAAAGGCAAGCACGGGTGGGTCTCAGGTGCTGGGCTCATGAAGCCATCTGTCCCTGCTGCGCTGGCCACGCAGCGCTGCAGCCGCTGCCCTAGGGGAGCTCTATGCCAGCTGCTGGAAGGGCTGGTGCTGTCCAGCAGCTGGGGACTGTCACCAGGCAGAGCTACAGGGCACTGTCTGTCCCCATCTGCACCTCCACACCACAGCATCTCGAGGCGGCCTTGTCTGCTGTGTTAGAGCAGAAGAAACAGGGTGCTTTCATTGCGGGAACTGGTTTTGATGCAGAAAGAGGAGGGTTTGCAGCGTCAGTCTCCATCCCCCCACTGCTGCTGCGGCTTCCTCCCAAGATGTGCACTGGAACAGCTTCTCTTTCTCAGCCCACAGCTATCTCCTGACCTGCTCCATCAGCCAGCAGACACCTGACAGCTAACCTCTTGCTCTGATCCTCCCTTCACAGCTACCAGTGATCTCCTCACGGCTTCCTCCTAGACAGCTTGTTTAAAAATAATATTCTTCCCGTACTAATCCTCTGCCTGAGCCATAAGAGACTCCCCCAGGCAGGCAGCAGAGGTTGGCTGGGAGAGATTGTATTCACACACAGCCCTTTTCATCAGGAAATTCCTTTCTCAGAAAAGCCAGGCTGAATGAGGAAAAAATGGGGGGGAGCAGGAGTTGTTTTTCTGGAAAAAAACAAGTGAGAGGTCAAAAGCCAGCCTGAAAAAGTGACCTGGAAATGGTTTCTTTGAGGACAGAGGTCTCTCTATTGTTTGGCTGGAAGTGTTTGTCTAGCAGGCAGCGTGTGGTCTGAAGCGTGTGGAGTGGGCTTTCAAGGAAAGATAAACAGCCTGGCTGCTTTGGCGCTGGCTGAGGGATGCTGCTGGGGGCAGTGGGTTTAGAGGAATTCCATCCCAGATGCACAGCAGAGTGAATATTTATAGCTTGTGGAGCACTTCAGGGACCGCAGAGTTGTTAGATAAGCTGAGTGGGGTCAGGCCTGGCTGCTGATGCAGTGGGAGGACCCTCTAGAAAGTTTGTGCCCTGTGGTGGGATGTGGAGCAATGAGTCTTCCCTCTGAGTCAGCACTGGTGGAGAGTCCGGGGGAATTTCCAGAGCGCTGCCTTTCCTACAAAGAGCCAAGGGATTCAGCCCTGTGAGTTATTAAAGAGCTTGAGACAAATTCAGACAGGCCTCAGCAGAGTTGGTGAGGCTGCGATTGTTTGCTTCAGACCTGAGTTCTTCTCCTTTTGCCCTTCCTGTAGGTTCTTGTGGGAATTATCCTGGTTGTCCCAGGTCTCTGCCATAGCATCTGTCAGAAACAGGCTGGCATGTCCTGCATGTTCCATGTTTCTGTCTCTGACCAACCAGTCATCCTGCTTAAGCTCTGGCGATAGTCAGGATCAGGGGAGCCAACCAGAGACATCCAGACTTGCCTGGTCTGGGTCTGCTCTGCTGCCATGTTCAGAATTATCTCCCATGTTCAGAATTATCTCCCATACACACCACCCCTGAGTCTGAGTTTGAACAGGGCTCTGTAAGCTGCCTTCTGACCCTTTAGGAAGAAAGCCAGGAGTAAAGTGCACTGACACTGACAAATTTTGCAGAGTGGGAGCCATGGCTATACTAATCTTTTTCTTGCCTTCCTCTTGCAAATAGGTGAACAAGATCGAATTTGTCCAGAGGAAGCCAAAATTCACAAAAGTCGTTGTGCCTTTGGAGGACCATGTGCAGTGTCGGTGTGAAGTCGTGTTCCGACCACCCCCCAGGAACATCCGTCCAGGGCCACGTGAACAGAGACGTAAGGATCTTGGCATTACTAGAATGAAGGGAGGTGTGAGGAGAGGGCTGGGGAGAGAGAAAGGAGACCTCCACTGGTTTCAGTCTGCTTAGCTCCAGTCAATCCCAAGGGCCTTCGCTGGTTTATAGCAGCTGAGGGACCTTTCCCAGGATGTCTTCCTGCCAGGAAGGTGCTGAAATGGAGGAAAAGAAGGAGGGGAAGGTGAGAGGTGAGGGGAAGGGCATGGTGGGAAAAGGGAGAGGGCAGAGATTGTGGAGAACAGTGGATAAGGAACAGAAGAATAGAAAGAGGCCTTGTGGCCCTGCTGTTGCAGAGCCCTTTGTTGACAGTGTGTGGAGAAGGATATTTCAACAGGAGCCGTCTGCCCCTGGCTGTACAGACACTCTCCCCTCTGTTTTGGCAGGCTTGTCCCCAGCGCTCACCACAGCCGCTGTCTCACAGAGGCGGCGAGTACGCCGGCCGCCGGCACAGAAGAGGAAACATAAGAAGTACAAGCATGTCAACGATAAGAAAGTGCTGAAAGAAATCCTCATAGCATAGAAGTGCTGGAAGGGGAGAGAGAGCACAAGGCAGGTAACAGTGAGCTGCTTTTCCATTCAGGAGAGATGTCCTCCGGGGACACGGCATCTGGGACCCTTCCCACACCACTGGCCACTTGTTCAGCCTAGGGCTGCTGCAGGATAAAACCTGGGTTGAAGGAGGAGGAAGAATTAGGTTGGGTGCCAACATGTGCATTCTATTTATGGAATTAAGGCTCTTTGCAACTTTGCAGAGTTGGAATGATCATGCTGCAGCCATCCTTTCTCTCAGGCACCGCCCTCTCCTTTCTCTGCCTCCCTTTCAGTCAGAGAACAAGCCTGCCTGCTCACTACACCTAAATCCCCTCGGGGTCCAGGTAATTCATATCTTCTGTGGAGCAACTACTGTTCTAGTTTCTCTATTGGTTCTCCACTGAAAACAGAGAATTAATGCTGCTCTAGGGATCCCTTTTCATTTTATTTTGTTACATGAGTTGGCAGAAAGACTGAAGAGCAGCAACATTTCTGGTTCATCGCTCTCCTATAGGGAAGCCTATGTGCATGAGAAAGGTCATACCAGGGGAAAAGAGAACTGGAATCTCTGGCAAGAGATCTGGACTTTGTCAGGCCAGGGTCTGATTCTTCTCTCCATGACTTGTGTAAACACGAGTAATTCCCTCATCATCAGAAGAATTCCCTGGCACAAGCTAAAGGAGGCTCAGCCTTGGTTCCCCATGAGAAGAAGAGGTGCAGAAAAGAGGGAAAGAGTAGTCAGGGTGTAGATTGGTGGGAGCTGAATTGTGACACTGCTTAACAGGGAGAGCCCTGGCCCACAGCTCAGCAGTTCCAGCTCTGCTACAGCCACTTAATAAGCCCAGGCCACCACTTCACATTCACTTCCCCTCACCCCAGGAGAGGGGACAGCAGGCTTCTCTGTGTGGCATTTCAGGAGCTGGGGGCAAGGGGCACCGAGCAGTGTCTTGAGACTGGGATTCCCACGCTAGACACTACAAGGGCTCTGATTATCCCAGGATTCTCCTGGCCAGCCTAAAGTTCCCAGGGTAGACATTGTGCAAACCCATGCAAATCTCAGCTCTGGCTCAAGCTGTTCAGGGGAAAAAAATTGAGGAGGTCAAAGGTCCTCCCAAGCTTCTAATCTGGCTCTTTGGCACAAATAGAGGAAAAAATGGGATAGGAGGGGAGTTGCAGGGGGCAAAAGGTTACATGTTCTAATGCTGTGTCTGATTCTGTTTCACTTCCAGGTTTATTTAATATATTTGCTGTATAGCCCCCATGGGGTCCTTGGAATGATAACTTTTCCTCTTTGTCCATCTGCCTCGACGTCTGATTCAGACGGCAATTGGTGCTTCCTTTTCCATCAGTGGACCTTCTCCCACCAAAGCCTCCCTTTCATTTATTAGCATAATTTTTAAGTTTTACACACACACACACACACACACACACACAAAAGGACAAGGATGATCTACATATATATAATATATGAGAAAAGAACAAAGTACAAATAAAACCGTGAATGCCAACAGCCACAACTTGCGAAGAGAACAGGACAATTCCTCCCCTGCCACGAAGGACAGGATGGAAAATGTGAAAAAGAAAGTGGGTCCAATTTCTTCTGAGAGAAGGAGAAAAACAGATGGACAGAGGCCGGAAGGGGAATATTCTCCCTTTCCCTCATGCTTCTGGTAAGGCTGGAAGGGCCCAGCTGAGATCTGCTCTTGCATTGGACCTACCTTTTGGCAACAGGCAAATCTCAGATTGCGAGCGGAGACCAATGATGGAAAATGCACTAAGAACTTTTACCACCCTACCTGGACAGATATATATTTTTAATGTGCGTGTGTATATTTTTTTTTAAAAGAAAAACCAAAACCACTAAGGTATACAACATCTCGGGGAACACAACAAACAAGCAAAGAAACAAAACTAAGAAGCCAAATGCATTCCCCTACTCCCTCTTTCCCCTGCTCCTGGTGCTGACTGGAAGGTGTTTGGATCGTGGGGAAGAAGCACAAGGCAGCAGAATCGTCTCCACACCCCCGGCCCCTGCCAAGAAGAGCCATCTTTGCACATGCTGGTGGAGAATTCAACTTTCCAGGCTCAGACTCAAATTATTTTTTAAATTCACTCTGGATGTGTGCGTGCGTATATGTGTGTGTGTGTGTGTGTGTGTGTGTGTATATATATATATATATATACGTGTGCATGTGTGTGCGTGTGTATGTGTATTTATACATACATATATAAATATATATATATATATATGTTCTTAAATGGATTTCATTCCCCAGTGGCAGGAAGCTCAGAGGCACGTGCATGCATCGGCTTCGCTGAGCTGGCAGAAAAGCACACTGTTACTGCAATGTGCCTGCGAGGCTGGGGATGGGGCAGGCAGAGACATCAGCTGATTTCTCCCTTTCTTGTTACCCTTTTCCCTCACTCTGTACCAACCCCCCCTCCCCAGCACAACTTCCTTGCAGGAGGTGAAGTGGAACCACAACAAGACCAAGGACAGCCAAACTTAGAAGCATGACTTAATCTCAGTGAGCTGTCCTTGCCTTCTCTGTTGTCTTGAAAGCAGAATCATGTCATTCCCATGAGGTTTTTAACCCCTTCCTGGATGTCCTGCATATTATACCTCCACTAATCTTTCCCTGCCAATGTTCCTAACCCACTTAGCTTGGAAGTTGATCCGTGATATGGATAGCTCTATGTAGGTATAGAGAAAGAAATGAGGATGGTGTTCACAGTTGGCCCAGTTTCTGAGACAGAAATGAGCTCTTCTAAGTGAGGAGGACTCAGAGCACAACTGGAGGGTCAGTTGCAGAGTTCCTCCTGGACCACTGCCTGTCTTTGAGGAGGGAGGAGGACTATGTGGGCAAGGGCTGATTTTGCACAAGTAATAGTCAGTAACCATTAGCAGAACTGTTACACATGATGGGAATTCCCAGCATCACCTTGGAGTCAGGGTCTTGGATTGTGCTGTGCTGGGTGCTGCATACATGAAGAAAATGCCTGCCCAGAGCAATCACATGGCTCTTCTCCCCTCACACACGCACCTCTGTTGTGGGTTAAAGCTCTGGAGGGAGATGGGGAAAGTAGCCAAAGCCACAGCCTGGGAGCTGTTACAAGTAGTGGAGGGAGCCAGTCCTCACCTCCTGCAAGACCAGAGCACTTCTCACACCCCTGCCAAGGCAGCACGTTGCTCCCTCCCTCCAGCCCCAAGCCCTCAAGTCTTAAGACACTTTCTTACCCTGTTCCAAAATCTGTTTCTTTTGGTTTGTAAATATGGTGAGGTTTTGTTTTATTTTATTTTAAATTTTTTGCCTTTTTTTAATGTAAGATTAATTTATACTCAGTACTGTATTTAAAGTTGTAAAAAAAAAAAAAAAAAAAGGAATCACCTCTTGAACAGCATTTTCTCTTTCTTTTGTGAGCTGAATGAAAAGCAGAGGTCAAACTAGCTCACTGCAGGGCACAGCGGGATTTCCAGGGCCTCCAGTTTCCTTTTCAGGACACTTGTTCTGAGATTGCAGAGAGAAGCAACCAAAGCTGGGAAAGTCCTGAGAGCCCGTGCCCAGCCCTGCCCATGGCCAGCCGTGCTGTGCTCCTCCTTCCTCACTTGGGCTGGTTTGAAATGACTCAGGTGCTGGGATTTTTCTCTTGAAGAGGTCCCCTTCTCCTTAGCTGCTCTGCTAGGACACCCGGCCAGAATTTCCCTGTGCTTTCATCCCATCTCCGGATTCCTCTGCTTTGAAGGGCTTGGGACAGCCGGCGCTGTTTACACTTCCCAAAGCTGTACAAACAGTTGGCCCCTTCCCTCCTTAGTCACATCGTCTAGACAACAGCAGTCCTTCCCCTCAGAAAGGCCACTGCATTTCCCTTTCCTCCCAGCAAGGGAGGTGTCACACATCTGGATGTGGGTGCCATGCTGCAGGGAGCAAAGGCAGGTGCTGCCCTGTGCCTCAATTTTGGCATCCCCCCAGCACATGCACAGCACCCTCAGTGCATGGCTCAGCTGTGAATAGCACAGACCCAAGAGGAGAATTGTGCTGCAGCGATGAACCTGGGGACATCAGTGTGTCCGAGTAATCCAGGATGTCCTTTAAGGACAAGCTTGATGCTCACAGGTGTGCACCTCGCTGGACACAGTTCATTTTGGGGTGATGACCTGTTTTCTCAGATCCCACAAAGGGAGGGAGTAACAGTGAACTCTCTCTGCCCCAAAGAATGAAAATACAGGCAAAATCACAATCCCCACTTTGATTTTGAGGGGATAATTCAGGGAAAAGAAAGATTTTTGGCGCAAGACTGCTTTGGGATTGAAGGCCTGTTAGCAGGGACTTTGAGCAAAAAAGGGTGCAAAGAGGTGTACAAGGCAAAGGAAACACGGGAGCATCATCTTGGACTGGGGAGTGGGAGGAAGGGCTCCAGGGTCCAGCACACTATCTGTCTATGAAGGTCCCCAGGCAGCCCCATTTCCAAGTGCAGCCTGTGCTTTTTAACAGCTTGGAATGAGCTGGTGCTGAAAGGCTGCAAGCCCTGGCACCTGGAGCCATTCCCTGCCCAGTGCCTGGCACCCCCATGCAGCAGCCTCTTGTCCAGGGGCTTGTCCAGGGGCTTGCTGAGGTGCTGCTTGCTCACCACAGCAACATTCGGCACAGCTCAGCGTGGAGCACGGGAAGGAGGGACCTGCGCCACTTCCCAAGGCTGGAGCAGGTGATTTACACCCACCCTGCAAAGCCAGGCTCAGGAAAGAAATCCTGACAGCATGCTGCTGGAAACTATCTCCTGCAGCTTGGTGAACCCACTGCTACAGGTGATCTCAGAAGTACCAGGGAGTTTTGGCAACTTTCTCTGGCTTAATTGCTCAACTGCTACTTTATCTAAAGGCCCAGTCCTCGGGGAGTGGAGAGAGGCTGCAGCAGTGGATCCCCCTGTGATAGCATGGCTCCTGAAAGAAGCACACAGATGGGAGAGCAGGGCTGGGGGCTATTCAGACACAAGGAGCACACCCCTGTGGTCCAGAGTCAGAATGGTTTTTAACATTGACGGTTTGCAAAACTCAGTCTGTCTCACGGGTAAATAAAGTGAAAAATCAGTTTGGAAGAACAGGCCCAGGAAAACCCTTGACTGATTATTTTATTGGTACTCAGGAATACAAAGAGCTTAAACTCTCCCCACACCTGGCTGTGGCTCGAAGGAAGGGCCTTCTCCAGCTCAGCCATGTGGCACAAAGCTCATGCAGGCATTCTCCTCCCTGTGCTCAGCTCCTGCCTCCCTGGCACAAGCTGTGCCCTCACCATGTCCTGCTGCCTCATCTGCCCAGGATCCAGACCTGGCTGGAGACAGCTCAGTGAAGACCAGTGCTTTCCCTCTTTATCCCAGGGTGGGATAGGGATGTTCTGGAGTGTGGCCCCATCTCACTGTCCATGCACCAATATCTGTTGGGCCCCAGGGATGTGGAGAAGCCAGCTATGCCAAGAGAAAAGCAGGGTACAAAGGAGGAGGAAAATATGAAGGCTTGAAAGCTATTTTGGAAAAAAACCCAGAACAAAACCTTGTTGCCTGAGCACGCAGCTGTTCCTCACTCGCCTTCAGCCAGCCCGTGACCAAAGGGTGCTGCCCCTCCCTGAGCCACGATCTGCCCGTGACCAAGTGAACTTGCTGCAGGCTTGGGAATTTCCCATCTTAAAAGACACTGCAAGGAAGCCAGGCAGCCTCAGCTGTTTGTGGATTTTGTCACAGGGCAGAGTGAAAAACTGAGTGCTAAGAGGAACAGGAGGTAACCCCAAATGCTGTGGCCTCCCTGCAGGGAGTGCAGACACCCGGTTAACACAAGGAGTTAACAGGCACAGCAGTGGATTTGTGAAGCTCTTGGCAGAGGAGTCAGGAGATTAAAGATACCAAAATATAAAATTATGGCAGGAATCATGTACTATTTTTCCTCCCCCAGTCAGGCAGATTCCACATAGGACTCTGGCATGACGGACTGCCTTGGATTCACAGCAAAGTCTGGAGTAAAGGCAGCCTCAAGGGAAACAGCCCCCTTTTTTATTACTATGTTATTACTATCTCAATAAAGCTGTTTGCAAGGGATTAAGCAGCAACCCAAACACGGCAGGGACCCAGGCAGCAGGGAGGTTTGTGGTTTGACAGTCTATGCACTTTTCAAAGTGTTTGCCCTGAATTATTTTTGCACATGCTGCAAATATTCAATGGATGGTGCAGAAACACCAGGCAAGCAGCTCTGGCCATAGGTCTTGTCCCAGCAGCTTTGGAAACTCCCAAGTTCCCAAATGTCCCAACCTTTGGCCCTGGCCAAAGCTGACTGATGCAGTAAGTGAAGGCAGGCTCTGGTCCCCAAACCCAAGCCCTGCTTGGCTGTATTCTGCATGAAAAGAAATGATTTTTCAGCAGGAATCTCGGCATAGACCCAGGGAAGAGCAGAGGAGGTGGTGTCAGCTACTGCTGCTCTCTTCAGCTGTGAGCAACAACATCAGAGACAAAAGTAAATGAGGTCAGCACAGGAAAAGTGCTGATGACTGAACCAAGGTGTGCTCCCAGAAAGAAGCCCTTCCTCACACCTGCATCATCCCCACGGAGGGGATTTCAGGACTCCCCAGGCCTTGGGTGGGGATGTCAGCAGGCTTCATGGATATCAGCAGGTTGGGAGGGTACTCAGGAGACCTGACACTTGGGTGTGCTGGGGTGTTAGCTTCTCCCAGAAAGGAGGGCAGGGGGGTTTGCTGTGATGCTGCACACACTGGTTTGGTGTCTGTGAGGAAAAGTTCTGGGAAGTGTCTGCATTTCTGCAGGCTGCCTGCAATGCCTCCCGGGCATCTCTCATGCCGAGGGACTGTGCAAAGTGGCCCGTGCCTTTAAAATCTGCAGAGGTGACATTTAGGTGGAAAAAATGTTTCACC